TTGGGCCTGTATCGTGGATTTGGGCCATTTACAAGACCGACCTTATTCCGAATCAGATCCAAATCCATTTGGAGCCTGAAGCGGTTTGCTCATCAAGAAAAGAATCTTCACCGAGTCTCTGTCATCTACAATTTCTATTCTATCAGTCTCAATTTTCTGCAGTCGGTGAGACCACGAAACTGTTCCCTTCATCAAGAGCTTCACATTTGAGCTGCAAACATGGTGCAGATGAAGGTTATCGGTGTTCTTCTCTTCGCGTTGTGTCTGATTGTGCCTTGTATTAACGCCGCGTCCACCAGCTTTCGCGCGTGCAGTATGTTCCTTATTTTCCCCAATTGGGCTTCTGTTTTTCATCTCATCTCAGTAATTTGATGTCTTGATTTCGGATCTCTGTCTCTCTATTTTGCTGTTATTTTTGGATTTGGGGATTTGTGGAATTTCTGGTGAATTTGGAGTAAGTAGATATGTACTTCGACTCGTTGGATTAGATGGCTAATGATCTAGCTGTTTTATGTATGTATGATCTAGAATGATGGTCGAGTTCTTGAGTTTTGATGGTCAAGTTCTTGAATTGAAAAAAAAAGGTAGCATTTTTATGGTGGTATTATTAACCAGGCTTAAGATTTTTCTATTGTAATTACCTTTTCTGAATGAGGGCTTACCCATTTTTCCGGAGTTCTTTCAGAGCCTTTGGTACTTCTAAGCTTTCCTCTCTCTTTGGAACTCGACAACTCTGGTTTAACAGGATCTCGTTTGAACGCTAGCTTTACCATATTACTTTTCGGGGGTGGCCATTCAATCTTGTGAACTAATCGAAGGATACGGCCTTGACTTTGACGGGCTTAATTTTGGTGTAATCGACTTTTATGCAGTTACTGATAGAATTGTCGATAGCCTACCCCAACTTGCTTGGGACTAAAAGGCTATGTTGTTGTTGTTGTTGTTGTTTGTACTGATAGAATTGTCGAATTTCTTATCACATTTCTTTGAAGTAAAAATTCAGTTGGGCCAATTGTGCGCGAGTGATATACTGACCTCATGATCCTAGAACGAGGCTAGCCCAGTTTTATTTGATTGAATGTTTTATATGTTCATCTCTCAGTTCAGTATTCATGCTTCATGTTAGTGCTTAATAACTTGAGCATCCTCGAACTTCCATGTGCTAACGGTTCGGCTGCTTATGTCCTCTGATTTGTCTGCATTGAAGGTTCGAAGGCCAATTATGCTGTCAACATTAGTGAACTTGATATAGATCCATATCCAATTTCCAAAGGCAAAAATACTAAGTTTCAACTCTCTGCATCTACAGGTATGATGGCTATACCGACTTATTTCAACTGTTTCTTGTGTTGTATATCTTGTGATTCATACAGTTGCATGGGTGTTGACTTTTGTGCAATATATAATCATGTTTTTGTTATTTAAGTACTTGAGGATATGTAAGAGGTAGCAATAGCTTCATTCTGTTTCCTTTTTTTTTTTTTTTATGGATTTAATATTAATTCAGATTCTAGGTTTTCTATGCAAGCACCACCAACTCTAACTCTCAAAAATTCGCTTTGGCTGCAAGAAAATCGCTTTCTCCAAAAGCCTCCTTTTTCTGTTATTTTGCCACACATTCCCTTAGAAATATACATATATGAGAACTCGACCTTTTTTGGTCTAATACAGACTGTTTCGGCTTTCCGACTTTATAATTTCTATATCATTATCGAATTTGTCTGTACAAATGTTTGGTTTGGGAGACTTAAACCATCGTATTTGGGCACAGATGAAGAAATATCTGGTGGGAAACTTGTAATCGATGTTTCTTACTTTGGATTCCACATCCGCACTGAGAATCACAATCTCTGTGAGGAGACCTCATGCCCTGTTCCTGCTGGTGATTTTAAGGTCACTCATACCCAAGAGTTACCCGGCTATACACCACCTGTGCGTCATTTACAGTGATTTGTTGTTTAATTTGTGCATGTATCTGAACAGATTGATGTTTTACAAAGCTGTTGGGATGATATATGCAGGGCTCATACTCGTTGCAAATGAAGATGGTGGACTCGAGCAACAAGGAATTGGCCTGCATTACATTTAGCTTCAGCATTGGTTTTGTAGCTGAAGAGAGCTTGGCTGATATTTGAATTCCTTTTATTTACTGATGTTCCTTGCTCTTTTCGTATTGTATAGGGACTCGCCATGTGTATGAGGCGTACCTCGTGAATGTTTCTCCTTTCGGTGTTATGTATATGTATTCGAACTGCCTTCTCTAAGACATAATGATAATAATTTCTGTCCGTGACAATTATAATATTTCTGTTCGTGTTTGTGACTGATTTGGTTACTTTGCCCTTTGTATATTATAAGAGATGTCTGGTTATCTATCCTTGGTATCCTCCAAGGATTTCAATTTGGTGTTTGGTGTTAGGCCTGCAAACGAGCCGAGTCGAGCATTGACCTTATCGAGTAGGATTGAAATTTTTTTTTAGTTGCTCGAGCTTGAGCTCGTCGAGTTCGATTTATGAGGTTCGAGTTCGACTTGATAAGGAAATACAATAGCTCGAGCTCGACTCAAAATCAAATGATCGAGCTCAGCTCGAGTTCGGTTCCAAAATTTTTAAGTGAAATTATCATTAAGCATTTATGTTATACTATTTAAATATATATAAGGGATATTTTAGTAATTTAATATACATTGAGTCGCTCAAGAATGCAAAGAATGGGCTCGAGTTCGGTCAAACTCGAGCTCGAGTCGAGCTTTGACTCGAGCGCTCGTGAGCCGCTCGACTCGTTTACAGCGCATTGATTTCCACCAGCTCATTTGTGGACAACAAAAGACTAAATGAAGTTAACTATGCGTTTATATTCGTTCATTCGAGTTCTGAGACAAATTCAATATTTTACGCCTCCGTGTCATTAACGAGAAACAACTTCTAGATTTGGCTTAAAATCTGTATGGACCTTCTATATTTAACAACAAAGCAAGTCTTCAATTTTTGTGGGCCCTCTTTCTCGTGGGCCCTTCACTCGCTGGGCCACCCTTAGTGTGCACTCAGCCGCCATTGCAAGCATTTGCAATAACCGTCGGGGCCCCGGCCAATTCACCGATCATCGAACCGAACACGGCCTTGCTACTCGGAGACGGTGAAGTACATGTCGAGGACGTCCGGGCCCACGGGCCGGGACTTGACGGCCTTCAAGGCCCTCCAGATAGCGTACTCGACGATTTTCCTAATCTCCTCCTCGTCCGCCGTCGCCAGAAGCGGCCGGAGCACCTGGGCCAGGGCCTCCCTTGTCTGATTGTAGGAGGATAACTGCAGCAGATTCCGGCGGACGGAGATCCTGAGAGACGGCCGGCGGCGGAGCTTGTACCTGCATATGAATCGGAAGTTGATGTCGAGATGGGGGAGCATCGTTATCCGCGGCGGATATCGGCTGCTGCTGAATTCGGATCTCACCAGCTTCGTGGAGTACCCGGCGGGTTCGGGTTTGGGTTCGTAATCGGACGCCATTTTGTTATGAGAATTTCCTTTTTTTTTTTTGTTTTTCCGTGATGGTGCAAGTAAAGTAGAGTATATATAAGAAAGGCAAATTAGGATTAGGAAATTAATTAAGTGAATTCCAAATTTTAACAGGAATAGGTTAAAATCTTTAAAACTAATCCGTGCGGTACAAGGAATTTATTTAGTTAATATTTACTATCGATATAAAATTGAAAGTTAAGGATGGTTCATCAGCTGACAACATGAAATATCTATGTATATTCCTATTAAATAAAACATAAAAGAGTGGAAAATAAACAAAACTATAAAAACATTATAGAAACATATGTTGCAAAAACACAATTATAAAATTTTGATTCGACCAAGTTTTGACTGATTTTTTTTTTTTATAGTTAAACATTGTATTAGTTGTTCATTAAATTTAGGTTCCTAGTAGGGAAAATTCATTGTAGGATTTGATTTTTAGTATTCCGTGGAAATAGGGTCTAAATTTTTAACTTTTTTCAATTGAGGGTTTAAATTTTAAGTTATATTCTCAAATTAAGACATACTTTTACATTCTACTTCTTAATTTAAGACTCCAACTCCCTTTCTACTTTGACATAATTATGTAAACCAAAATTCTCTCTCTCTCTTTTTTTTTTTTTTACATAAAAATTATTTTTAAAGTACTTATAATGAAGTATATTAAATATCTTTAGTAAAATTAAATTATAATATAATTATTTCATAATTTACATTTACGAAAATTTTTAATGAAATTTATTTTGAAAGTTAAAAAATAAATTTTAACTGGATTTTCATTTAAATATGTGATAACATTAGAGAATAAACAATTTAGAAAAATAATTTTATTTTTTAAAATATAATTATAGAAATTTGTGAATAAAATATATAATTTGAAAAAAAAAAATGAAGAATATATAAAAAAAATAATACCTATAATAAAAGTATTAAATATATTTATAAAACTAGACTTCGTAAGAAAATTAATTCGTGTAATTTACATTTATGCAAAATTTTAGCAACGTTAATTTTTAAAGTTTTAGATATCTAAGTATTTAATAAAATTTGAAAAATAAAGTATATAGAAAATTATTTTAGTTTTCCTTCTAAGCTTTACTATTTATTTTTGTATTTTATTTTATCTAAATTCCGTGGTTCCAAGCAATAAGCACCATCAAGAGTCAGGATTAGAATAACTCAAATAATTTATTTTTTATATTATTACATATTTATGTTATAAATAAAAATAAGTTAAATAATATTTAAATAATATATTTTCAAAATAATATTATTATAAATAATAATTTATTCATAAATATTTTTAAATAATATTTTTTATACGAATAATGTTTTCAATAGTATTAATTAGAAAAAGTACAATATTTTTTAAATTGTTTTTTTTCTAGTTTTACTACATATTTATATAATCAATTATATAATATTTAAATCATACATTCTTAAATCAGTTTCAATATTTTTAAATTTTAAAGTAAAATTCATTTATTTTTTAATAAATGTAGCTTAAATAAATTAATTTTCTATCAAAGTGATTATTCCAAAAATATTTATATTATTTTAAATATAAATTTCAAAATAATAGTATTTTGGTTTATATAATTATATAAAAATATAAAGTCGGTTGGTGTCTCATATTGAGAACTAGAATGTAAAAGTAAGTCTTGGTGTTAAGGAGAATTTTGATATTTTTATGTGTGTTATGTTTTGCAACACTAGAAGGTGTATTTATAGACTCCAATAAGGACCCAAGAAGAAATTAAACGGGTTTCTTCTATTAGGACTAGACTATAGGCCAAGCTTACCAATCCAAATAAATAAATACAATCATTCCACTAAAGCAGCATTATTGAAACACTCTCAATGAATTCCCAAATTACGATTTGAGCTCTACTTTCTTATATATCCGATTTACCTCCTCATGTCTAAGATATAATGTCTGTCAATTTTTTATTTACTGATAATTAGATTAATCGATTTCTATAATTGAAACTAGCACTGTTCAATCATTATTATATCTCAGAATTTAACCCACTTATAATAATCCTTTTGAACTCACTCCGGGGACAACATCAAACATCAACATTGTGAAGTACATGATAACTGTAAATATTATAACAACACCATGTCATGTAGAAATCACTACCCAAGACAGACAATTATTGGTCCATATCAATAAATCTCACCTTGCTGAATCAAAGCAGTAATTACTACATACATGTGTTTGTTTATATCTTACGAGTTAAGAGAATGCAATAATTAGCCGATACCTACTTGGTTTACCCATATCAGTATAAAACGAACTGTTCCTCTCTGGGATCCATTTAATACACAATGTGTGCTGGTGTGGTCAATCAGTCAAGATCAATTGTACTGCCCACACTACAACCATTCCAATGGATTGTTCAATTTCTATCTAGGTTGTGAATCAATCATTTATTTTTTACAAGTAACCGATAAATGATCTTCTGTCCATCCGTGATGAACTATTTATCTAAAAATGATCTTCTGTCCATACGTGATAAACTATTTCTCTAAAAATGTTCTTCTGTCCATCTGTGATGAACGATTTATCTAAATGCAAAACAATAGATCATACAAATTTATTTAATCAAACATGAATTCTCATTCAACATAAATAGTGTGAATCACATTTAAAGCCAAACTTTCAGTATGCAACTAACATGATTATGACAATTGATTCGATTGTTATACTATCATCTCATGGTTGTAGATATAATTTTATTAATTATGTTCACTGATCAGAATCACTTAAAATATATAACAAATGTCCACAATAGTTGTGTTTGAATCATATTAATTTTGATATTTTTTTCTCGAACCTTCCTCTCCCTCTTCTCCCGACATCAAAACCTAGTTTTCAATTGCCGTCGATTAGCCTTCTCCGTTGAAGGTGCAGATAGGGCCAGTGGTCGCCCAAGATCGCTCGGCCATCCCCGACATCTTGTCTCTTTAATTCTACGGCGATGATAGCCTAGCTGGGCTCGTTGGGCGCGCTGATTGGAGGTGTTCTTCTGCGCCGGGAAGATGGCAGTTCAACCCTAAATTCCAGTCTTCACCGTTTCTGATACCGACAAGGTGGGGGAGCAGTCATTTTTACCGGATTCTTAGCTGTGGCGGTCCTCTGGCGTGCTCTTGTGGGTGAGCCACGGTCGATGGCTGATTTCTTCTCTCTGTGGCTGTCGATTGGCTTCGATTGGTGGTTCGTCATTTTGGTTCTTGGAGTCGAAGCTTGGAGGTTCATCTGATCGTTTTCAAGTTGGATTTCTGGGTTCCGACTTTTAGGGCTTCAGCTTGGGTTATCAGCGGCTGGCGGGACGTTAGGAGGCAGGTTGGTCGGAGGATGGAAGGGACTTCGGCGCCTCGTCCACTGTCGGGGAGCAGGAGTAGTCGGCTTGGGGAGCTTCTGTCGATCCAGTTCTTTGGTGTTGTTAGCTAGATCGGCCGGTTGCAGATGTTGTCTGGGGTTGTCCGCTCGGTTGAGGGTGGGTTAATTCGGGGTTCCGGGTTACCTTCTGTATAGGCGTTCGACAGCAGTTTCGGAAGTTGGCACCGGGATTTTGTATCTTACTTGGATTGATCGTTGCTCTACTGGTTTCGATCCGTCTTATTTGTTGGGGAAGGGTGTTTTAGAGTATTAATTGTTTGGTTTTGTGCTTTGTGTTGTGTTGTGTTGTGTTAAGAACTGTGTTTTTTGTTTGAGTCGTTGGCTCCTGTGAGCCCGAGCGTCAAATTTATTCTTCTGTTGGGAGCAGACACTTGGGTATTACCCTGTGGGGGTCTTTTCATTTGGTAGTTTTGTGTGTTGTTTGTATTCAGCCTATGGCTGCACTTTTGTACATTTTCTGATATATCTGTCGTTTCGAAAAAAAAGAAGAATCATATTAATTTGATAAATAATTTATAGCATTAATAAACTTTGCTAAAATGTAGTCAGCTTAACCATAAAAAAAAACATATTTAGAAATTAATTTCTTATTATCACTTAAATTTATAGTATGTATTGCGTTATATATCAATATATTGATACCAAATTTTTAAAATTTGGAACAATTTTATAACTTATAGTTTTAATATTAAATTCAGATATAATAATTATATACTTTATACAATACTAGTTAGTCCTTAAATTTGGACTATAAAAAATAATTCCAGCTAAATTATTAGGTTATCCTGTAAGCGTTACTATAATTAGGACTGGTAATTTTTTTTTTTTTACGACCGTATGAATCGAACTGAATTTGAAAAAAAATCGAACTGATTTGAACAGATATTAGTCAGTAAGCGACTTTGTTTCGGTACAATTTTGGTATGGGATCTACGTGGTTCGGTAAATACCGAACCAAACCGAATGTGTTGTGCTCTATTTTTTTTTTCATTAGGCCCATAGTTGATATATCCATAGGCCCACCACTAAGGTTGTGTTTGGTAAACATAGTTAATAAGCTAACTTATAACTTTTAAGTAAATTCAAGCTTATAGCTGATAGCTAATGACTTATGGTTGAAAAGGTAGCTTATAAGATGAAAGTGTTTGATAAATTAGCTGATAAACTTGCTGGAATAAAAAATCAGTTGACTTATTTAAAAAGCTACTCAAGGGACTTATGAGACAAACTCGATCTGTTTAAAAAGTTCGTCATACTAAACCAAATTTGTTCAAATACATGAAGCTTATAAGCTAATCAAATAAACTATAAGTTAGCTTATACTTTTAAGTGAATTTCGAGCTTATAACTGATATCTTATGACTTATGGTTGAAAAGCTAGCTTATATGATAAAAGTGTTTGATAAATTAGTTGATAAGTTTACTGGAATAAAAATTCCAATTGGCTTATTTCAAAAGCTACACAAGGACTCATGAGATAAACTTGAGATTTTTTTTTTAAAAAAAAAAAAAATCATCCTACCAA